TACTTTTTGATAAATAATTCGTTCTTATTGCGAAATAGGAGCACTATTTATCAATATGTAATAAAAGACGTGAGGAAATTCTGTCTTTTTTAAAGGCGAAATACTCAATAAGAAGTTTGTAAAAAAATATAACCAAATTACAGTGAAGTTCGCCTATATGAACCTGGTTATAGTGAATTGTCATTGATATAACTCTTGAAAACTTTTGGAAAAGATAGAATCATTAGCGATTTGTGAACTACGGAACATTTTTGAATACATTTTTATATTTTTAATTTAATGAACTTCTTAACAAGTCGCAACTTTTTAGATTCTAGTGATGTTCTTGACTCTAGGAAGTCTCTGCCCTTAAGAAATTTAGAACAGTTTGTGTTTTAAAAAGCTGTATAATCCACGCTCATTTTTGCCCTAGATTTTTCTTGTTTTTATGAAGGAGTCTCATTTAATTTATGTGTGGATCCAAATGTCGGAATCTTAACAAACTGTATAATTTATAGTGAACTCAGGCTATGCAGTTTATGGAAATTATACTTGCACATTTTATGCATGTGTCATGACTGACCCTGGCTTTAATCAAATGAGCATTTTCTTTATGAATAACTTTCTCCGTAGCAGCAGGCACCAGGATATCCACAGGATGGTACAAAAGATTATCGTTGTATTTTTCAGCACCTGGAAAACCGTTAATGGTTCCATTGTTTACCCTCCATTCCTCCAATTCCTACAAATTATTATTGCAGGTAATGATGCTGTTTAAATTTTAACTAGAATGTTTGATACCTTAGGGTCAATTCCATTAGGATTATATATGGAACCATCATATTCGATAACTCCGATGCATTTCGCTCCAGCTCTATCCAAATACCTCATAGTATGCAAACCCACATTACCGAAACCTTGAACGATAAAAGTTTTGCCTTTCCATCCAGTGCTAAGGCCGCACAGTTGCATGTATGATTCTTCATTTATAAAGTTTTCAATCCCATGGAAAACACCTACAACGGTATGATGTGAACGGTTCTAATTCAACTCAGTGCAATGTTAGTACACATGAAACATAATCAAAATGGTACCGCGGTCTGACCTAACTTTTCCAGTAAAAATATCTGGATACGGCGTTAATGACGATCAAACTTGTTTTTAAGAATATACGTTTTTTGTAACATCGGAGAATTTTGCGATGGATTTTATTGAATCCCGAAAAACTACAGCTGTGTTTGCATTTACATACATACCTCTGCCGGTGGCTGAAACTCTGCCATGAATACCGCCCTGGTTAATGGGTTTACCAGTAACACAAGCATGACTGTTGATATCCTTGTATCCAATAGTCTTCGAATAAGTGTCTGCTAACCAAGACATCTCCCTTTCTCCAGTGCCCATATCAGGGGCAGGCACATCAATGCTAGGTCCTAATAATTCACGTGAATGTGTTCAACAATTTCCATCAATCACAATTGAAACTTTATTTGAAAGTACGAATGTGTTCAAATCAAATTTTCGATTTGCTATGAATATACAGTGTCATCATTTCAAAAAATTATTAAGTATTTAAATGTGGAATTTACGGTTTTGGAAAAAAACACGTCAGTTTGTGTATTATCTACATTAAAAAACGAGGAATTTTCTTCGTGTAATACCTAGATAATTAAATGCTTAATGCCTTTAAATTGACGTGTTTTTTTTTCCAAACCATAAATTACTCTTGCTCAGCTAATAACTGAATAGAGTGCCTCGTTTTGAAATGAAGGCACTGTATAGAAGTTTATCCAATAGCAGTAAATTAATGTGAACTTTTTGAAAATTATCAGTTTGAAAATTGTTAAATATTGATGTCAATTAATCTTTAACGGTTGTCGTAAACGTTCAGATTGATAAATATTTGAAAGCAGCCAAGCTGTTTGATCCAGATTGCTTTTATTGCTTATGTAATCACATTGTTTAGATTAATCTAATAAGATTTGATAAATGGTAATCACCTTCAATATGTTTAATTCTTTCAAAATGGGCTTAACAACAATTTAGATTTTTTTCTATAAATAGATGGTTTTTATTACAGACAGGAATATCACACTAGACTCTAAGTAAAGCACTGAAAATGCAGAAACTCCATCCATACAAAATGCAGATGTTTCAAGAACTCTATGAGGATGATTTTGATGGACGAATAGAGTTTTGTGAATTCATAAGTGGCCAACTCAACAATGTTGATGATTCCGAATGAAAATGCTCACCAACACGCCTTTTCCGATTAATATCTTTGAAACAAACGCGAACCGACCTACAGTAGATACAAACTTTTTCCATCAAAATCAGAATATTCGTTTGTCCATCGAGTCGCGGTTCGCCCTGCATAATACAAATATTTATGTCCAATCTTACCAATAAATCCTTTCTTAACGAGCTCTAAAGTGAATCTTCTGGTGATCTTTTCCAATTCGTGTTCGGAGTACTTCTTTGGGTCAATCTTAATTCCTGCTTTGCCACCTCCGAATGGCACATCCACGCAGGCACATTTAAAGGTCATCAGGGCGGCTAAGGCTTTTACTTCGTCCTTATTCACATCAGGCGAGAAACGCATACCTGAAAAAACGGAACTTGCAGTACATTCTCAAAACCTTTAATCTATAAAGAAAATACTCAAATACAACGAATTACATACGCATGTGGGCGTTTTATACTGTTATCGGAATCTTATAAATAATGCTAGTTTTCCCGAAGATACATTTTATAAAAAAAATAAGTTGCATGAAATTTTAGAGCTTTTACTACCAGAAATTCTGAAAATTATTTGCAACTAATTAGAAAGAAAAATTCCTCAGTAAACCTCTCACTAAAAGTGTGTGTAACTCAAAAATGTAAAAGTGTTAAATACAAAAGTTTCAGATTTTTTTATTGTCTACAACTCTGCCACTGAACGTTTCCTTCTAGGGGGTCACGTTTTCAACCCCTAAGCTGCATCGTCATTTCCAGAGCTTTCTTGATCATTTTTTTAAGTTGGAACCTTAACAACATTTTCCACCTGGTCCTTGCCTGTTATTAGTTTTTTTTTCAAAAAAATTATTTGCTCTAGCTTACACCTGAAGTGTATGAATGTACTATTTGTGGGCTAAATCCAGCTGATTAGAAGAACAGAGAATTAACATATCGAACTTGATGGGGTTGGATGCGGATGTCGCGACCAACCGATAGCATGTAAAAAGTCCAGGTAGCATTTTCTTCAAATGAATAATCCATTAAATTTTACTGGTTGATATAACAGCGAACTTGTATTGTGTTAAAGGAACTGAAAATTGGCTACCAGAGTTAATTGTTCTCATTAATTGAAGGCCAAAATCGTTTATCCTAATAGAAAAAATGGCTACATAAAATAACTATTACATTTACTGCTTATTGTTCCCAAGGCCTCAAGCGGGAAACATCATAATAACCTCGATGACTTCAACTACCTTAAATGGAAATATGAAACGAATTAATTATCAAAATATATTTTAAAATCTAATTTTCCGAAATCCAAAATAAAAAAAATGTTATTTTCTGCTACTGGAGTACTTCTTAAAAGGGGATCAATGAGAAATCAGGCTACTATTGCTCGATATTTTAATGAATTTCCTGCAATAGCTGTAAGAATCAACACTGCTATTAACACACAACAAACAGCAGGTTTGCACTGTGCAGGTATTTTAATGCGATAGATTTATTTTTACTGTGAGGCAATAAGTCTGCCAAATACTATGGGATTTAAATATCCCATATGGTTAGCTATCATTCAATTAAAACAGTTTTCTGTACTTTAACTATTTTACAGTTTTATAAGTAGGCTTAGTGTTGAGGAATAAAGTTACACAAAAGTTGGTGTTCCATGAACAAATGCAACGACAAACTTTTAAAAAACATTAAAACAAGAGTTTATTTTACCTTAATAAATCTTTATCCGAAAATGCATTGTCAAAATGGTGATGGTAAAATTCCTAACAGATTTTAAATAATTTTTAATCAAAGTGATTAGTGCACAATGTGCAAATCGAAATGGATGCATAACACATTTCTTTGCTAAAAAATGAAACATCACATCTTGGCTATAGCTAAAACAACACAACAAAATATTTGTTTTACATATTAGGTTAAAAAAACCGTTCGTTTCATGTCCCTGGTGATACATGATAATACAATTAATATCGAAATGATAAATAGTCTAAACTATCATCCATTTTGAAAATAGAATATATTGATGGACATGAAAGCTGATTACCTACTGATTTTATCGCACATATTGAACTGTTTGTCTTATTAGAAAAATCGTCAAAAAGCTTATTAACTTACTATAAAAAAACCGTTGTTTTCCCGACTTATACCCTTATATATTCTGCTTATAATTGCTTAAATAACAATCTGTATACAGGGTGTAATAATTAGGCAGATTCGTGTAAGACATTGTTGCCATCCTTCTGATCTAGTTTTTTGCAAATATCTCAGTTTTTAATACGAATTATTTTTTTTACTATTTTTCCTGTACTCCCAAAACACCCCAGACAACACCTCCAGAGGAATGACGCCAATTTTGAATCACCCTGTATATTATGTAATATATTTTTAATTAAAATGTTGCTGATATGCATAGATATATAAATAAAACCCTTCTATTCATATAATTGATTCGTAGAAAGACTTGTTATACAGAAAAATGCACCTTTTAACATATGTATTAATAAACAAACGGTGCGAGTACAATTTGAATAATTTGTATAGTAGGTATGCATTGGCAACAATCACATTAATTTATTAAACAAGACATTACAATGTATTCATTCTTCAGTTCTTTAGATTGAAATTTAAAAACCGGTTCACTCCATTAGGTGTGTAGTGAAAATTTGTTCAAACACTTTCAGATGTAATCCCCAGTTTCTTACCCTACAGGCAGGCATTTCTAAATCAAATTTTCTATCCTTATATTAACCACAGTTAAGACATATTAATAGTTCTCCCATTAGTAATTAATGACGAAAATGATTAAGTAAACAGATAAGTTACTTAACCAAACCGACGTGATCTCTCCCCATAGAAAATAAATTCTCGTAGTAACTAAACAAATATATACTTACCTATATTGTATTTTGCGCTACGGAAAATAAAAATAGCCATCGCGTATAAGTATATCTATCAGGCATGGGTGTTGAAATAATTTACGCAATTTTCGTCAGCAGCACACCAAGATTTTCGACCAATAAAAATGCTTCTTCGCATTTATTTTAGTACTAGAAATGCCACCTCATTGAAGTTGGTACTGAACAAATACAGTATGTTCTAAACTGGTCCTACATGTGTCCGTTTTTTGGGAACTTAGAGGTAGAAAAATTATTAAATGAGAGAATTTGTATGGAATTAGGTGCAACTTCGGTGCAGATTTAGCAATATTTTGATTTCAGAATTTTTTTTATTAGTCTGGTCATATTGGGACCTTTTCCTTGTGGTTTAGCCAGGCACTTGACTTGGATTATGGACATAATAATAGACAGCAAAATTGTCAACATTAATGTACGATTCCTTTGTTAATTTTTGATAATAATTTAGCGTAAATCTGGCGATGCGGGGTATACCAGTTTAATCAGTATACAAATATTTGATATTCCGGCATATGATGACAAATGTTGTAGAAATGATTCTAGATTAAAACTACTTTGAGATGCGTCCGCCTATCATACAGTGTGTCGCACTTAAAATGGAAACACCCCTGTATTTTAGTTATTTTATGAAGCAAAGTTTTTAGTTTCGGTACAGATGTAGAATGTTATGAGCTTAAATGTTGGCATTCTTTTAAATTTTTACGCAAAGTCCGAGTTTTTCACAAAAACTTAATGTGTGGTGCGGAATTTTAGATGACAGAATAATGTTTCCGTTTTTCTTCTACACTACCTTACATGCTGAGCGATTGCTTAATTTTTTTAATAACGAATTAGGGGATGTTATGGAGGATCTGCCTATCAACGTGCGACACGAAATGCTTTTCCAACTAGACGGTGCATCTATTCATAACCGCCTGTTGGTCCGGGATTGGCTAAATCGATACTTTCCATTACGATGAATTGGCAGAAAAAGCTCTTTTGAACAGTAGCCCCCTCGCTCTCCTGACCTTACGCCATTAGATTTCTATTTCTGCGGTACTATTAAGAATAAGGTTTATAAAGTAAGGCCTCAAACTCGAGAAGAACTATGTGAGAGAATAAGACAAGCCTGCCGTGAAAAAAATGTAGCTGAACTTATGAGAGTTGCGAATAACAATCGCAAACGCATTGAAAAGTGCATTCGGCTTGCAGGTGGACTAGTTAAAGCAGACAACATTCGATAATACTAATTTTTTGCTTGAATTTTTTTGTTGATTTTTTTATTTTGTTGAATAAATAATGTTAGTATTTATGTATTGTTGCATTTTTCATTGCTTCAAAACTTCGGACCTCGCGTGAAAATAAAAAAAAACGACAAAATTTGACTTGAAACTCGGTATTTACCGTTAAAATAACATTCTGAACAACTTTTTCTAGTAACTTTTGCCGATATCTCTAACGCATCGCAAAATATAGCGAATTGCACCTATTCGCAAAGTCGTGGTAGACTGGGTTTTGATCTGAAGTTAGAAATGGGTACCCACTAACGCCCCCCGCTTATTATTTTCAGATTTTATATTTGTTCGATATATATCTGTACGAAAACCTGCCTCTTTTGGGGGTTGATATGCGTCTAGTTTTTCTGTAAGTACATATATTTGTATCAATAGTTTTAGTGTAACAAAAATAGACTTACAACGAAATAACGCCACTTTTGAATCACCTTTAACACCGGAATAACATAATATTATATAAATTACATATATGATTCCCTTAACACTGGAAAATATGATTTTGGAATTTTCATTTGGTAAGACTTTGATTCGTGCCATTCTTAGGAGAAATGAGTATTGAGAAATCACCTATGTTTCTACCATGACTTTTTGCAAAATTCGGGCAGTGTATCTTTGGAAAACCTACCAAATTGTCTGTTTTGAAAACCGAAATCTGTTTCGAATTTCACTTGGTATTTAAATCTTCGAATTAAAAACTAACTTTTGACACGCTTTTTGGGTGACTCAGTTCTACCTGAGAAATCACTGTTTTTCCTACGTGGATTTTTACGTACTGTATTATTCGAATTTTGTACAGATGAACGTTTCTTCTTAATAATTTAATTAATGGCGATTTCTTACCTCCTTTGCAGGGTAGCCTGTGAGTACTGTGTTGCGCTCTGTAACCCTTGATGACTTCGTATTCGCCATTATCCCTCTTTATGGGAAACGCCACTTCGATGATGTGATCACAGTGCTCCATGTGCGTGAGAATTCCACGGACTTTCGCTTTTCTTTGCTCCAGGGTTAACTTAGACCCTTTCACTTTGGCAAGATCTTCGACCAGCTTATCTTCCACAAGAACACATGCCTTGTGGAAAAAGTACTCCACCATGTCGAAGAAGCGAGGATTTGGGTTATCCGGCATGTCCTGTAAAGAACATTCATTTACCTGTCTAAACGTAGAAGATATTTCTCATAATATATTGCCTAAAATATTTGTTTTCCTCAGAATAGTTTAAGCAAGTCTTTTGAAACAATCGCTCGTTTTTTCTCATGGTTAACGAATTTTAAGAGCTTGACTATGTATATTTTTTTTTGATGTGGCGTCCAAGCAAGGGCATTAAGTTAGGGAGGGCCGGTATTTAACGTAACCGCTAAAATAACAGTCTTCCAAACGTGTAACCTGCAACCGTAGTTACACCGAGCCGATTTAACCGGTTGTTTTTGGAAGCGTCTCATAAAACCGAAACAGTGGTACGAACTTCGCACAGAACCGTAATGTAGATTATTTAATGTTTTAAAGACAGACATGAAGAAGATTTTTCAATTTTTCAAGATTTTGACAAACTTGTTTCATACCAAAAAAACACAACACAGGTATATTATAGTACTTCTGTTTCATGCGAGAGCTTATTTTTCAAAGCGGGTGCGATCATAAACCAGGGAAGAACTAGACTTACCAAAAAGCATGCGCATAAATATTATTCTTAAATGTTAATTCAGTTTCAATGAAATTTGGAGTTTTAAACATTTTCGCATGCAAAACGTATATTTTATTTAAACCATTTGATTTTATTATCAGTTTTTTTTCTTCATGTAATTACTTATGACCCATGTGTTGTTTTTGTTTTTAAAATATATTATTTTTAGTTTACCAATGCTAAGAATTATTTTTTAATAAACTAAATCATTATTTATCAGCACTATTTCTACCATCATCATTGTGAATTTTTAATGAAAAATTTAAAACGGAACATGTTACTTTTAAAACGGCATTTTGAAACCTAATGCCAAAGTGAAACTGTAACGTTGTAACCTGTTTCAGAAAAATAACCGTTAAGCACACTGACTCACTGATACTGAGTCTAACAACGTGATTGACACGCCATATGAGATTCATATTGTATGTGACATTTTTTGGCAAAGCTTCTGTATGTAAAAACCGACAATACATAGGATGGAAGATATGGTCCAACCAACTTGAAAATCAATGTGGTTATAATGTTTGCCGCAGGCTATAGTGTGTTCGCTAAATATAATGTATTACTTTTCTCAATCTGCTGTAAATGGTATGTCCAATAGTATACAAATTTCAAGAATTTGAATATGAATAAATATAACAGTGCATGTTCAATTTATAAGGGCAACAAGAAAAATTAGAGACCCCTAGATTTGAAAAAAAAACTGGTTTTTGTTCTTGATATAATAATAATGAATAATACATAAACGGCTCTTGATATAACTTTATCACATTCAATTATAAAATAAAACTTTTGTATTTAAATTGAAGCCAAATCATAAAACTATTACCTGGAAAAGGTTTTAGATTTGGTACCACAATACCAGAAATGTAATAAAATGATTAAGTTCGGACTTATAACTGTCCGACTACATTTAGTAGCAGATAATAGTATATTATACACCTAGGTAGAGAAGTAAGCCATTAGAAGCCTGTGTCCCATGCATCCGTTTATACGATGGTAGGATGATACGAAAGTGTTTCTATTGGTTGGAGGTCTGTCAGTTCGTGCTACGGCGGACGAATTGACAGATCTCCAACCAATAGAAACACTTTCGTATCATCCTACCATCGTATAAACGGATGCATGGGACACAGGCTATATACCGAGAACTTCTATAGCGTAGCGCCGGGGGAGGATATAATGTGCGAGGGATTTAGGGAAATGAAGTAAATAATGGTGACTGCTCAGCAGGGTGGCCATCCGTACGGTAATCACCGTACATGTACGGTAATTTGGGCAATTGTACGGTGTAGGTCTCCAACCGCACACCAATTGCACGGTATTTTGGTATTTTTGTACGGTAAATATCATGGGATCTTGCTTCTAACCAGTGTGAAGGCTTTTTCGAGCTTCAAATATGATAGTTTCAAATGGCTTGAACGGTAATACGCGTTTGAAAAGTTGGCCACCCTGCTTCTCAGGTTAGTAGTAAAAAGTGTTATTATGTTGCTGTATTCGGGGCGTTTTACTCCATTGATGAACAATGTGGAATATTTTGAGCGATTTTATAACATTTTAGGACAGCTCTAGAAGGAAGCTTTACTTGCAGCACTTTTTCACACAATCCAGTTTTCATACCTAACACTGATCCAGTCCCGATCCAGTACAGGCAAAATTTAACCTCTAAATTAACAGAAGACAATAGAACTCCTTAAATTTTGAGCGAATCTACCAGTAAAATGTTGGTCTATTTTGGGACACAATACAAAATGCAATAAAATCATTCAATTTTACGATTCTGTAACCAACTAAAACGTCAAGTTTAAATTTAATGTGAGTTTCAGGAATGTAGAAGCTACACAATAGTATTTTTGGAAAAAAGAACAATCTGGGAAAACAAACTCATACCTTTAATCTATCCGGAATAACGTGTTCCGCATAGTTTCTGCCTGGCTGTACGTTGTTGACCATCACAGGTAGAGCTTTGAGTAGAGTCCCAAATTCCCCCTTAAGGGGTCCTGCGGCCACTTTAGACACGAGATTAAACATCACCAACGCCTTTTTGCCACCAAATTAGTTAATTACGTAATTGAAAGAAGCTCTATTTTAAATATACCGATATTGTCCCACGGAACACACTCTGCCACAACTTCCAAATTAAAAACACTAAAAATATGTTCTCCTGCTTAATACCCTTGCATTTTTTGCCGGCTGTGCCGACGAACTCACGGTTGCCACCTCGGCTCAGCAAAATAAAGCATTACGATCCCTAACAACTACACGTTCGGACGACGCCCAAAATTCTAATTGAATAATAAGAATGTTTAACTTAAATATATTATTTTTTTACAAACTTCTTGTTGGGTATTTCGCCTCAAAAATTTTTGTCTTTAAAAAAGACATAATTTCCTCACGTCTTCTATTACAGATTGATAAATAGTGCTCCTATTTCGCAATAAGAACGAATTATTTATCAATTGATTTGATTTGATTTGAAGAACTATCACCTAGAGGGTATCCTGCGACACACTTAGGCTCAAGCTGTAAGAGAAAATTCTAATTGGAAAGGAAATTAATTTGAAAAATTACCTTGACGTTTCGATAGCTATTTTCTGCTATCGTTATCAAAAGAACCTAAATGAACCTAAAAAAGAGTATGTTTATAAATTGTGTAACAATAGTAGGATAATACAGTATATGAAAATTCGCTCTGATAATTCGTCTGTGCAAATTGTTAGTTATGTGACTTTGACTTAATCTCATTGTTTAAATTAATAAAGGTAATGTTAATTAATAATTTTGGTGTAAATTTAATTTGGATGTATGTTTCTCTGGTCTAATTCAGATTTTAGCATAGGTAACCATGTATGACTTAAATTAAATGAACATGAAGCAACACAATTATTTTGATTTAGTAAAATTAGCGCGCTTTCTTTAATTTTACGTTTTTTTGTAGATTGTTCTTTTGTTAAAATTGTGGAATTATTCCATTGAATTTTATGGCAATT